CAGCGGAGACCAGGACAACTAGATGAGCCCCAGATACAGATCCCCAGTGAAGACCTTGTCTCAGACGACAACCGGGACAAGACCACAGGAACCAGATGAGTCCTCTGCACAATGTGACTTTGCTGCAGCCTGGAATTGAACTGCTGGTTTCGTCTGGTCAGAGGAGAACTGGCCCCCCGACTGAGCCTGGTTTCTCCCAAGGTTTTTTCTCCATTCTGTCACCGATGGAGTTTTGGTTCCTCTGGCTTGCTTAGTTGGGGACACTTCATTTCCAGCGATATCGTCGACTTGATTGCAAATGATTGCACAGAGACTATTTAAACTGAACTGAGCTGGATGATGACATCACTGAATTCAATGATGAACTGCCTTTAACTGAAAAATGAGTGTTTACTATTGTCACTTTGCATTATTGACACACTATTTTTCTAATTAATGCTGCACAGTTGCTTTGACACAATCTGTATTGTTAAAAGTGCTATATAAATAAAGGTGACTTGACAAACCACTTGACAAACTGCGCTTGAACCCCGGACCAGCGAGATCGACTGAGATTATTTTCATCTTTTCCTTTTTACTTTTTCACTCGATGTTGTTTGAGGAGGTAAGTTAATTTTACTCATACAGCAGCCACGATTGCAGCGGAGGAGAGACGATGGTGGTGCTAATATAGTGAGTGCAATCATTTTTAACGACCACTGTTGCTGTTTAACGACGATCCTTCTGTTCTATCTAGGTTCAGAGCCCTCTTAATGACTATTTAAGTACAAACAGGTCACTTCCTGTTTGTTGCTGCCGTGTGGTTTGAGTTTGAGCTCCGTCAAGTTAATTCTTTGTCGTCTAATTTTTTATCTTAGATTCACAGGCCAGTCTCAGACTAAAATGCATGTTCAAGCTGTCTTCACTTAAAATATCATGTACTGACACATTAAAATATGTCAGTGCCATTGTCATGTCTCAAGATGCACACCAGTAAAGTTCTTAAGGCATTTTTATAAAAGTTATTTAAATATCCTAATTTAACCAAGGCCTAGTCCTGGCTTAAGCGAAGCCCTGTCTGTGAAACTCTGTCTCTGTGTTCAAACATGGAAGTCATACGAAACAATGTCATTGTTCACATCAGGCATGTACATACATTTAAATTACTTTATGCACTAAAATGTTTATGCCACCTCAGAGCTGGCATGATGAAATCCAGAGCAGCAGTATGTCATGTGGGTTAACTGAGACCTGTTCTGAGGAGGATCACTTTATTGACTGGCACACTGCACAATTAAATGTAAACCCTTATAAAGACTGTAACTTTAATGTTTGCTCTTCACAGAAAAGTTGTCAACGACAAGCGTGACATCACCCAAAGACCAGCTCTTTTTACAGTAAACCAGGTATGTATAAGTGCATTCATCCCATGTTGTATTTGCCATAATTACAAGATTCCAACTTGGAAAAATAATTCATGTCCTTGTAGAACTCATAATTGCCATCTGTAATCTGGGAATTTTCTGAGAGCTTCTACTTGTACCACATGACTGTACCTGACTGCTAACTAACACAAACACAATAAAAACATGATACCATAATAAAAAAAGCAGGCAGTTATGACACCAACATTTTAAATAAACAACAAAGATACAAATGGAAACGGTGCATTTCAGGCAGGTCTAACAGTGATTTGCAGGTAGCCTACAGAAATGTAATAAATTATGCTAATCAAAAACACTATAGTCTTTATATCTTTTTTAAAAGTTCGAGAGCAGTGAGTGATTGTTTTTTCTTTGATCAACAATAGAAACGCAGACAGCAGCAGGATTATTGGAGTTCTGTTCTTGGACTATTTCAGAAATAGAGCGAGGAATCCATGTACTTTCGGGGGTTTGCCGCATCCTGTGTAGACAATATCACTGATTATAATGACGTCTATTGTCTTTTAAAACATTGCGTCACGCGCGGTTCATGTTTACTTAAGAACCAACTACTTCACTAGGATACTCACCGAGACGGGCATTTTTGACAGAATTGAATGTGAATTTGTCCGTCCAAGCGCAGGAAGGAAGCAGAGCTCAAGACGCGGTGCTTCGGATGTTTAAACTTCCCACACAGCATGAGAGTAACGTGTGTCCTTTCGCGTGTTTTAGTTCTTGAATATTTAGACTGCAAAGCCTTAACGCTTATGCTCTCATGACATGCACTGTTAGGGTTTATAAAAATGTTACCGGTTTCATATAATACATGTAATTATACATGTAAAATGTTACAGTTTCATATCCTCGCCAAAGCCCATTTTTACTCGGATCCGGCACTTGGCGAGTGTTCATTTTAGGCCCTGCGGGTAAGGTATCGTTGGACCCAAAAGTGCTGCGCAGTGACAGCTACGACAGCAGTGCTGCACAATATTGAGATGTTGCTGAGATGCGAGACAATCAAGCAGACGAGTTTAAGGGTAGTACAGATGTTTTACTGAGGATTACAGACATCTGCATCTTTCTTCCCTCATTCACTACTCCCATGCTCAAAACGTGTTAACAGATTGCTTAAAATGTTAATCTTGCTGAATCTTGCACATGATAAGCACAATTACACACAGACACATGCATGAGGAAGTGCAGAATACACCATTAACTTGAAATAATGTAACATTATTTTTAACATTATGCTCAATTAAGCTAAATGATGAGAGACAGTGAAGATGTTGTTCATATCAGAGTCTCATAAAGACAGAGGGATACATTTTCTAAATTAAAACAGTGTTTGTCATGTTTGCAGCACATGTGACGAACTGGTTGAAAACCACTGACTGCACATTAACCTCGAACTGAAGTCAAGTGTTTATATTTATTCATTAATTTTGGCTTCATGATTGAGTCACTGAATGTTTTGGGGTTTTTTGCACTTGAAAAACAAACAAAAACAGAAAAGGAGAAGTGAACAAATGATTAGCAAAGTATTGTAAAGAGGCTCTATTCAGCCTGCCGTCTGTACATTACTTACATGACTTGATAATGTACAGGCCAGCCGTGTTCACAGCCCAACACAATGTAACGTGTGGACAACCTCCCTCTATAATATTCACAGTTTGGCCACTGGCCACTTTGTAATCTGCATGTGACCACAGAAAATGGCGTGCCACTCTGAAACAGGTTTCTGTTATAGTACAGTTGAGTTCCTCCGCTACAGACTGCTGCAATAGCACCTTCACCTGCTCGTATGAAGCTGTTGACAGGTTTGCAGTCACCCGTTTCAGAGACGATGTTTCTGCTTCTGATTTCACTGGTACACGTCTCCACATTCACAAAAGGACCCTGATGCTGATTGAGGAATTTTTGATAACGACGCATTATATGTGCTGGTTGGCCATGAGTGCAGGACGACACACACAAGAGCAGCAGCAGAATCACTGTAGACCGATGGATCTCCATCACCTGCTGAACAACACACACATCTGAACACCTTCTGCTGACATCTGACTTGCTAAAGCAGTTTAGACCTTTGAAGAACATACTTCATCAAATAAATGACTGAACCCTGCAAGTGTTTTTACTTGCACATATCTTAACCCAGCTGTGCACTTCTTCATACAGTACATACACGGTTTCAGTCCTGTATGTGTTGAAGACACATTTCTTGTGTATCTTACACTTCCTGAGGAAAGCTTTAAAGTTCTTACCTTGTTGTTCTGGGTAAATGAATATTTTGTTCTTTCTTCTTTTGCCTGAAGGCTTTTAGAGTAATCGGCACTGTAATGAACGAACCTTAGAAAACCCTGATGAAAGCGAGTTTAGACTTTACACTGTTGTCCGTCAGTGCCGCTGGAGTATTTATTGCAAACCGAACGTGATCTTTGAACTCTGGAAAGTGCAAACATGGCCTTGGCCAATTGAGCTGACTGACAGGAATTCGATCATCCTTATTTGTTATTTGCAAATATTTAAAAAGGAAAACATTAATGATGTTTCAAAGTCCGGTTTACTAAACCTGAGCTCCTTTAGCTAGATTTGTAAACGATCAGAAATATCCTGTCATAATGCACACGGTTGCTCTAAATGGGTGGTTGTCAATGTGATCAAACTGAATGGTCTATTCGTGTCGCTCACAGTCAATGTAAGAGTGCCTTCTAATGATTAGATGCACAAAGCTATAATAAAACTGTAGATGTGGAATGAGATGTTGAACATGGTCAAATAAAAGCACATTTTTTCTCACAGTGGTGTGATGTGCTACAGTTTGAGAACCAAATACACAAATGTGATTTTCAGTCACAAAACAATTCCGTTCCTAAATGTTGGTTTAATCAATGATTTATTGATCTCAAAATGTGGACAAAATATCTAGGTGCTATACTTCTCATGTACACTTTTAAAAAGAACCTGACTGCAGAAGATGATTTTCAGTGTGGATGTCTTCACTTTATCTTTACCTGAAGCCAAGGGGGAATATTTGAGAAACAGTTTAGTCTGGGAAGTGAGCGTGCTTCTTTGTTTTTGATAGTTTACCTGACCTGTTAAACACACAGAGACAGGGAATGAGGTGCACATTCATTCTGATCCAATTTTAAAGGGAATAATCTATGGCATGCTATGTGCTACATGTAACATGCGTCAGAAAGAAACTGCATGTCAAACCTCATATATGCATTTATACCAGTAATCATGCGAGAAACCTACAGTTCCTTGCCAGCTTCCTTATAGAGTCCAACTCGCCAAAACAGAGATGAGAGAGAAAACATGTTTCAATGATCCCTATCAAGGAATGTCAATCAGGCAAATCTGATCAGATTATGATTTAGAATCTGATGTCAGTGTGACGTCATGTTTGTAGTGCCAGTTTCATCTGAAGGTTTTGCCGCTGGAAAGGATTTAGAAAGGAAATCTGCTCAAATTAGTCATCTAGAAACACATTTCTCCCTCTCGCGTGAAGATTCTAATCCACAGTGCAATTATTAATTACACCATTTCTTCATTTGTCATGACTGTATAGCTCAGACAAGGCCTGTTTGTCTTCCATCTCACAAGGCATTCAGACAGTCAGTTCAATGATTGACCAACCGTATAAAAGCAATTATGAATGAAAGCCATGCTATTGGTTGATTGCAAAGACGAGTTCCAGTCGATGGGAACGAGGAAGACAGTGACACAGTGAAGACTTTTGCACTTTTGTTATTCGAGTGCTGCAGGTTTTTGGAAATATAAGCCATTCTTGCCACTTGTAAAGATTTGGACATTGTCAGGTGCTCTTTTTTAACTCTTTTACATTAGTTAGACATCGTTTACAAGGCGGAGATCTGAAACTGTTCAGCTGCGCACAATTTCAAGATCATAGTAATTTATAGATTTCACATCTAAAAGAGAGGCGCACGCATGTTTTCTGTGCGTACATTCGTTCTATGAATCACACGTAAACACTTTGAGAAATGATTGTAAAATCTAATTTAGGATTCTTTCTATGCAGTATTTTATAAATGAGGCCCCAGATCCTCAGGAAAACAATCTCCAGACCTTCACACAAACACTTTTGACTGAAAATAACAGGGCCCCTGTTACTGTGAAAATGTTTATAAGTAGATAAGTTCATCAAACTTATAAGAAATAGCATAAAATAAAGCAAACCAATCATTCTGATGTCTGAATATCATTATATGAGTCATTGGGAAGCATCCATGAATAAAGACTCTTTCATTTTCACAAGTGTAAAGTACAAGCCTTTTAAATGCAGTGCGGCTAAAATATGAACATATTATAATTAAAACCCTGGGTTAAGAGCCAAGATGGTCCTTGTGTGTCATTGGAAAGGGACAGAAACAAACTCAACAAGAGCACTGAAGACACAAAGGGGCAACATGAACAAAAACCAGAATGCCACTACACAACCATGACAAGCAACACAGAGACCTTACAAACATCTACAATAATATAACAGCTAAAGTAATGATGCTCAGTGTGCATCTACCATCCCAGAATATAAAAGTGAAATCACCTGAACCACAGATGATAATGAAGAGGTCTATACAGTAAAAATCATAAACAAAGACTGCAATGTTTACACAGTGTAAGCTTGTCTTGCTGAGCTTGATTCATTTAGCCAAAAGCATGTGATCTATGATGTCCAAAGCTTTGCCAGAAAACTATGTGACCATTTTAGTATCTGATTCAAAAGAAGCAAACCCCAGTGCCTTTTGCCTTACATTATAATGCATTAAAATCAATTTTGTAATTTTTTTTGCCTAAGAAACAAGTCATAGGACTGAGGCAGAATTATAATAGGCAGACACAGATTTCATTTATGTTTCATTTACTTTCCTTACCGACACAAATGAATCACTTTGTCAATGACCATTATTTATATGCAATAAAATCAAATGAAGAATCAGCTGTAGAGCCAGGCTGAAGCAGAACACAGCAGTTTGGTACGTGCTATTCTTCTTTATGACCACTAGATAACCACAATACGTTGAAAAGATTGGAGTAATGAAAGTGAGTGACATATGAAGGCCAAGTATACGGTAACCATGCTCAGAATTTGTCCTCTGCACTGAACCCATCCAAGTTAGTGCACACATGAGGAGTAGTGAGTAGTGAACACACTTCTTTATTGAATGATAATTTATAAACTCAAGTGGGGAACAATAATATGCATATGAAACTATACACACTTTCCCCATAATTACATCTCCAGTCATACATGTCAAGTCAAGTCACCTTTATTTATCTAGCGCTTTTAACAATACAGATTGTGTCAAAGCAGGTTTGCAGCATCAAATAGGAAAATAGTGTGTCAATGATGCAAAAGGACAATAGCAAACATTCAATATAACAGAGGTGAGGCTCCTTTGGGCCATACATGTCCAGCTCTAGGACCATTTTGATCTGCTGTGTTTGAAACATTTTCATATAATTGTGAAAATGAGATACATCTGGATCCAATAATAGCCATATTTGGTGTGAGAACCAAACATCAATCGGATGCGTTAGCTTTCTCTTCTTTGTTGGCCCGACAGCTTATACTCGTACAATAGAAGTCAAACAAACCACCAACACATATCAAGTGGGTAGAACATCTGTAAAAACATTTGTTTTTCTTAAGAAAAATGAATTATTTTAAAGTATGCACAGTGCTAATGATACTGTTTTATCAGAGCTTTATTGGCTCTGTCATTGTGTGGTTTGATTGCATCAGCTTGTCTGGTAGAAACAGAATGACGACGCTGATTAAGACTGCATCCAAGGTGATTGGAGTTCAACAGACATTACTTCAAGTTAAAAAGCTTACGCGATAATTAACTGTCCATCTCATCCATTACATAAAGAGTTTGCTGTCCTCCCATCAGGCCATAGATATAGAGCAAAAGGGTGGAGAACAAGGAGGTTTAAGAACTCATTCCTACCGACTGCTATTACTACCTTAAATTGAACTCCCGTTCACCCCTTCCCTTTTTATCATTCCTTACTTATGTTCTTGTTTAATTTCTTTGTTTTTGAATGATTATGTGTGAGACTGTGTTAATGTGATGTGTGACACCTGTGCAAACCAAATTTCCTAAGGGATGAATAAACTAAACTAGAACTAAACTGGATCACAGCGAGTGTCATGGCGGATGTCCAAATCCACTATCATTTTATAAATAATACTGTTTTTGTGTCACAGAATGTAGTTTTAAAAGTGTTTGGTAACACTTTACAATAAAGGCACAAGAATAATCCTGTACTAATACCTGAATTAATACTTACTTCAACATGAACTCATGATTAGAGCAGGCATGAGCTAATAATGAACTAATGAAGAGCTTTCTTTAATTACGACTGGAGTCATATGGGTTCATGCATGAATAACACAGTCTTAACTGCATGTTAGAACGTGTTTGATAGTTAATTCATTAATGAACATTTAGGGGTAAACTAAATCAAACGAAGGAATAACACATTGACTTTCAAATACATTTTAACAATTTAATATTGTCATAATTTAAATTATACTATCTGCAGCTTTGTCATAAACATTACTGGATGGCAGAGGATTAGTTTGCTATTATTTTCATGGATCCTCTGTATCAAATGTAGAAAATATTAAAAACACTAATATATGATCTTAAAAGGTCACGATCTGTTTTGTGCGATTCTCTTTCCCGTCAAACTCAACATTGTAAGTTTCTGGATAGTAATTCCTTCTGATGAATTTGGTAATATTCGGGTCATTACTGGTGGGTTATCATGATCTTTAGAATACTAATAGAAATAGAACACTACAAATAGAATGAGTGAAGGAACATAACTTTGTGTCTATGTTAAGGACTCCAGGCAGCTGCTAAGGAATCAATCTGTTGTAATGGACAGAAGCATTAGAGGAGGAACCTGACTTTCTTTGGCGCACTCTTGCATCCCTCTGTGGAATAAACAGAATAAACAATGAATACATTACTTTGCCTGGTTACTTGCAATTAAAGTTACCTTAAATATGCTTAAAAATACTTTGTGTGACTGGTATACATTCCAGTTAATGAGTTTTTAGTCACTTTTTACAGGGCTCAAATTAAGCCTTCACTGTAAAAGAAATTCCAGGATTTCACAGCATGCAACTGTGATAATAATTTAATTTACTGTGAAATATTACTTTACAGGTTTTTACTGTGATATTCACAATACACTACGGTATTCGGGAATTTCACTGTGAAAATAATGTACATTACAGGACACTACTGTGAATTCCGTCCTGCCTCCGCATGCTGTGTCGTCTGACTGAGCTCTCTCATCTCCTCCATGTTCTCATCCGAGTCCAACGGATTCAGCGGTAAGTGCTGAAATGTC